TTTTTGTGGGAATGTTGGGATGAGGACAGTTTGTGGAGCGCTCGCCTCAGGCAGAACCGTTCTCAGAGGAGTTGGCGATTTCACTAAAAAACGGACTTTCATCCGATTTCAGACATTCGGACTGGTCCCGGTCCGAACCACACGAACTGTCCAGCTCTGTTGGTATAATTTCAGTCGAGTGCAATTAAGGAAAAAAAAAAAAAAAAGGAAAAAAAAAAGACAAATGTGCTGCTTTAAAGACTTATCATGCACATTCCAAATGTGTGTCTGTTTCCTTTTGTTGCCTGCTCTCACCAAAAAAAAAAAAAAGAGAAAATATTTTAAATTAATGAATTAAGTCAGAGCTGGCAAATAATCACTACAACCAAACAGAAATAAGCTCTTTGATCTCAGCAGAACTACAATTATAAATCTAAAATGTAATTATTTATCAATGTTTTTTTTTTTTCTCTCTCCTTCATGTTGTGCAATTATTTCAGTGGTTGCCTTTTATTTTATCTTTTTCTTCTATCTTCCGGTTGAGTTTAATGAGCCTCCTGATAGGAGATGACATTCTGCGGTTAATCCTTCTGTAGCAGTATTTGAATTAAAAGGATGAGGACTGCAGATGTACCGAACAGCCTGTCGAGGTGACGCACTGCACGCTCCTTTGTGCAAGGAGCACTAGCAGTAAGCTGAGGGTGTTATTGCCATTATTATTGATCATTATCAGTCTTAAAGAAGGGGAGGTTCAGCTGTAAAACAGTCGAGAACAGGAACATATTGCTGATTTATTGATTGATTTTTAAAAGAAAAAAAAAATAATTTTTTTTGTAAAGCTTTATTTTAGTTGAAACATGCAGGACGTCGTTTTGTCGTCGCCGGGTCTAATCATGGTGCCTGTTGATTCCGCGAAGACGGCTCCCTCTTCCTCCGTTTTTCTGTCGCTACGGATAGTTCAAATCACACGTCGAAGCCGGGTGATGTGGCGGAAACTAATTTCTCTTTGTTTTTGTTTTTCTTTTTAGAGGAGTGAGAAATCTCCATTTTGAAAATGGTGTCGAAATTGAGTCGTTTGTAAACAAGCGTGCAATGAATTTCATTAACGTGTTCATAGGACGATCCGGTGACTGCGGCGGTTGCTCTTCGGTGACACTACCAGAACAAAACGGACAAAATGTGGCTGCTGTTATACGTTGTTATGGATGTAGTTAATTGCCTTTCTTTCTTTTTTTTTTTTTTCTACATTGTGTCAAACATGGCAATATCCTCTTTGAAAAGCATTCATTCGCTGTATGTGATTTGTATGATCGACACAAACAAAACTAACAATTTTCTACCCTGTCTTCATTTACAGCCATTACATTTGGAAGTGTAGGTTATACCGCCTATTTCTTTGGATGATGAAACCACCTTAAATATTTGTCACTTGTGAACAGCTTTACTTCACCTGTAGTAGGCCTCCACCTCTCCTTCTCCTAAAGGCACCATATCAGTCATCACTAACTTCTGTTAAACCAGCAGCCTGCTCCTCAGTTAAACTTGAACACCTGTTTAAGGAAATCGTTTTATTTTGACCACAGTATACATTTGCTTAATCTTGCACATTTGAGAAATGTAACTTAATGTTGAGATGTTCCAATGTGTATATATGGATTCTGATTTTTTTTTTTTTTGTTTGTTTTTTTTCCTCTGTTTGTAAATGTGGGGGGAGGGAAAAGATGTAATAACTGAATTATCAACAGGAGGTTTCATTTTTGTAACTTCAAGCTGAGTTGAATCAGAGGAACATATCAGTCGTCTACTAAAAGCGGTTAAATTAAGACGCAGAAGCAGATGTGAATTCATTCTGTCCTTTAAAACCTGTAGATTTTAAATATTTTTACTTCATATTGATCATGCTTAGTGTAATTTAATGAAATGTTTATAATTACACTGTTTAATATGAAAATAAATGCAAACAAACTTCTAAAAGTTTTCGTCCTGCATATTTTTTTTTCCGCCCGTCTCGCTATTGGAACAGTGCAGAATAATTACTTGCAGAGAGATTATTTTTCCACACGTTGGGTTAAATTAATTAATTGATTTTCATATCAGTCAATTTTAGCTTTGCTGGTATTAAAACTTAAAACTGCACACATCCAAATGGTTTAAAAAAATTACCTGTTAATACTGCAAGTAGGTGAAATTGATATAAAGTATTTCTTTGCTTTGTTTTTTTGGGTTGACTTTATGAGGATTACATTTGGGAACAGGGTACATAAGACAATCCCATTTAATCAGATTTTTTTTTATTCACTATACATAGAAAAAATCTTTAACTTTTTCAAATGCTGTCAGACTACATTTTGTTGACATTCGATAAAATTTCCTTTTAAACTGTAGGAGTTGGGTTCAGTGAGTTATATCTACCATCTAGACTAAAACGTATTGTATTTTAATATTACATTTTAAATAAGCACAGAACAGAAGGGCAAAATATGAAAATCTCTTCCAATCTAGTTGCTTTTCCATTCAAAAGAACAGTTTGACATCAAATGATAGAACAGGACTTTAAGTCTTTATTTCACATTTCAATACCCTTTATAACACCGCCGGTCGTGATGACGCCAACAGCCGCTTAACAGTCACGGTCGTTGCTGTTTTATGAATTGGTGTGTGTATCAACAGGAACGTGTACTTATTGCAAAAGGGTGGAGAGGTATTATCTGATGCAGTGGTCCCCAACCTTTTTATTACCGCGGACCGGTGGTTGGGGACCACTGATCTGATGGTAAAGACTGAGATGTTTCAATATGTATAGTAAAAAAAAACACCATCTGTAAGCACTGCAACCACAAACAGCCGAACAAGATAAAGGAAACAAATTACCAACGATGCATAGTGAATAATTTCAAATGAAATGCAAACAAGAGTTTTGATGAGTAAGTCAATCAAAAGGAGAGTAAAACTTAAAAACCCGGTTACACTGACGTTCGTTAAAAACCAAAGCGTAGCCCTTAAATAAAATCTCACCCTCTTAGGTTTTCACAGGAAGCTGTAAATATGCATTCCAGGTATTGCTTCAGTCCAGTGGTAGGATCAACATGCATATGCCTTTTTTTTTTTTTGAAAAAAAGTCTTGAGAGACATCAAGAGAGCTATATTATTTTAGTTTTTATTGTAGCTTACTTTCCTCCATCTTCACTGAATACTGAAATATTTCTTCTTGTGCAAATCAACCCTGCTGTAACATTCATCCATCGGACAAATCCGACCGAAATGCTTCGTCAAAACGTCTGTTTTGTGATTGTGCAGCCCCTTTACGTGAAAGGAATGAAGAATAGGTCCAAGGAAACAAACGGATTTTCCAGGCACAAAGAGGGCGGGGTGGCTGAGGAGGGGCTGTAGAGGCGCTACACGCACACGGCGCTCCCGTTAACTTGAGCCGCGGGCCGCTGGAGGGCGGGGCTACGAGAGGGGCCGCCGGGAGGAGGGACGGGCCCCCGAAGAGGCTCCGCGGAGTTTCCCCTCACACTGATGTGCTCCCATCCTCCCTGCAATACAAACACTTGGAGAATTATTGACAAACCCTTTCAGAACCCAGAACATCTTCTTCCACATGTTTGCTGTATCCCTCTATATCATTGGTTACAAGTTTATGATTGCAATATGAATCATTTTTGCAATTGTTTAAATAAGGTGATTTGACAAGGAACTATGAAGTAAAAAATAAAAAAGCCCCAACTCACCCCTATGCCGTAGTCCCAGGACAGGCCCTTGGGTGCCATGGGCCCCACACCCAGCCTGTGGCAGACGGACCCAGGAGTCTCAGTAGGAAAGCCTGGAACTCCTTCTGCGATGATCCAAACCTCAAAGCAAAAAGAAAAAATTAAGTGTTTTGTCTTTAGATGAAGGTATTCTTGACATCTTCTAGGTCAAATACAAATTTTAAATGCGAGTGTGTACCTGGTCCAGCGGTCCCACAGACACCTTGGTGACGTTGTTAGAGATGAGCTCCCATGCAGAGCCCTGAGGGTAGCTGGGCGTGAGGCCCTGTCTGTACCACAGGTTACCTGAAAGACATCAGTCAACATGTTTGATTTTTTTTTTTTTTTATTCAGTAGTTTGAAGACGCAAAGCAAACCAGATCGAATGAAAACTCACCGTTGTCATCGACGGCAAACACGGAAGTCCGGCCGACGGACAGCTGTCTGAGGTTCTGCCTCGGAGGAGAGGGGATGTGGTACCAGCATTCTCCTACAGAGCGAGAAAAAGCTCCTGAGATAGTCTGAACTCAACCCTGAGTTTATGTTTCAGTGATTTATTAGGTCTGACCCACAGATTAGCTTTCATGTCCAACTGACCTGCAGGGTTTTGTGGAGACACGGATCCTCTGTAGAACACGGCTCCGTCCCTCGCGATGGCCCACACCTGATTGGCTCCTCCGATGGAGATAGACTTAAACGGCTGATCTGTGCCTACATGGAGCCAGGAGCTTCCCTATGGGAGCAGAAACACTTCCAGAAATTCTGACCCACAAATCCATAAGTCATAGACGATATATTCTCAGGACGTGATAAAAAAAAAAGACAGATTTCTCACCGCGGGGTTCTGGGGACTCACGCCCAGCCGACACAGGACATCTCCTTTGTCACTGAGGGCCCACACGGGGACCTGCTCCATTTTGCTCTGGGTGAGACACGGCATCAGAGAGATGTCGCTGAGATGGATCGGCGGCACCATCTTCCACGGACCTCTCACCGTTATCTTGCACCTCCTGGACGACGAACAGGTCACCGTTAGCGTGGAAGCGGAGTCACGGACTGGAGGAAGGCGAGTACTTACCTCGTCCATCTTCGGCGCCTCACAAAGTCCTTCATGGTTTTGTGGCCATGAAATGTCCTGTAGGAAAGGGACAAGTCAGACAAATGGCTAAAATCTCCTCTGTAGTCAAACGTCGAGAAGTAAATGTTTCATACGTGGGAAAGTCCGCAGCATACTGCCAGCCTTCTTTGTCTGTTCCTCCAGGAACACTGAAATCCACAGCCCACTCCGATACCTAAAGCAGCAGGAAATGAGAGCAAACAGAAAGAAATCACTGTATAATATCCTTATACATTATTAGTTTCTAGTCCTAAATTGCCACATTTGCAAAGAATTAACACTAATGTTCACTAAGAATTTATGACAGATATTTGTGAACAGGTCAGGATTTAAACACGAAACCTACAAAAATTAGTAAGGATGGATAGATGGATGGATGAGTAAAAGGGCGAAGGGGTGGACAGAGAGACAAACAGATGAACGGTTATATGGACAAGGTGGATGAATTTGGGTATTGAAATGCAAACATTTCTCCTCCATTTCTCTATTCCCCCCCCCCCACCCACCCCCACATTTGCTCAATAAAATTGCAAACTTGCTAAAACTTTCCCAAACTGCTGAAGATACCCGTTAAAATCTAAACGCTGGATAACATTTCAGTCAGGAGGTAAAGTTGGGAGTCCTCTTACCCAGGACCACTGAGGGGACGGAGGGTGTGTGCTGCCTTTGGTGCATTCCTTCAGGCCGCTCTCATCACTCCACATGGGGCGATCGGTAGGAAGTCCTCTGTAGGATTTATTGTTATGAAAAATGTACTGGGATGTAATATTAATGCATGCCAGTAATTAGAAACATCTGTAAAATGAAGGAGACCTACTTGTCAGTGTAACCAGTCATTGGGTTCCATCGCTGATTCTCATACACATGTACACTCCTGACATCAGTCTGTAAGTGAATCTCAGGGTTGACTGCAGCAGAAAACACACACAAGGTCATTTTCACATGTGTTTATACACGGACTAAAGAGTCAGCAGCTGGATGCTGGCGCATTTCCCATTAGGATCACAATAAAAACACCAAAAAAAAGTGAAGATTTTGCTTAGCAAATGATCTAAATGTTAGTGCAGCATTTCTGTAAATCAACAGGAAATGTTCCTGTCTGAAGGACGTGCGTTACCCGAGCTGGGCTGTCGCCCAAAGCTCCCGCTGTAGACCCAGGCAGTGCCGTCCCACCCGATGCCCCACACCAGCCCCAGACTGTTAGACTCTATGCAGCGCAGGTGGCCTGGGATCTGGCGCCAAAACCTGCAGCAGCGCACAGTCGCACGCAGCCAGTGTTAGTCCCAGCAGTTAGTACATAGAGTGGCAAAGAGACAGGCGAAAAGTTATCTGGCGACATATCAGTAAGACAACAAAAAGCAAAAGACTGGAAATCGAGGCGACGAGGATTTTACTGAATCTCAGGGCAAAGCAGAGGAACAGAATTCAGTCTTTGGTATCTGGCTCACATAAGGTCGCAGGCCACAGGGTGAGCCGCTGCCTCCAAAGAGAGGGGCGGCTCGTGTACCATGATGTCTCCCTTGGAGGTGGTGGACCACAGCGCCTGTTTGGTTGGAGCCCCAGCAATCCCTCGCCACTCACAGCAACAGTCCGACAACAGGTCCAGCTGTTGGACAAGAAACGTGAGAGACACGTTGCGCGACACTTGACATGCAACGCTCTACCCAACTGTTTCACCAGTTTTTACATGATGACGAAAGTTTTACCCAGTCGTTCATTTCCTTCCCCGACGGCGCTGCCAGTATCAGTGGCCATCTTTGTTTAGTTCTTTCGGCTGTGTACACGGCAAAGGTGTAGTGGCAGTCTTGCAGAACCGGTACCAGCGCCGTCACTTCGTTTATGAACACCTGAAGGTACTGAACATGCATCAACAATGAGTCGGTAGTTATACATTTAGTACTTCTGGTCTTGTTCTTGTTGCTGCCCTTCCTTCTAAACCAGGTCAGCACATGAGAACCAACCTTTTTCTCATCATATTGAGTGTAATAGACAAAGAAGATGCTGTCCTTCCTCCCATCCGACTTGGTGGATTGCTCAAGAGCAACACCTACATCCACCCAGCGTTGTGGCTTCCAGTCTCTCCACCAGCGCAATGCCCCTTTACGCACCCACACCGACTGGTAAGGAACCAGGAGAAAATAATTAGAATCTGTTCACCCCTACAGCAAGAAGGAAGACAACTTTTTTATTTTACTTACGTTGCTTCTCTCCAAAGGTTTCCTAGTGATCTCTTGATGTTGCGGCTTTTGAGGCTGCTCGCTCCAGGCTGCAGATTGCACCGGAGTCAGAGACAGGGAACTACTGAGAGGACCTGATGCACAAACGTAGAGGTGTAAGAACTCGGGGAAAAAAAACAAAAAACGTCCCTAACCAACCAGGGAGGACGAAGCACCTACAGAATTCCTGAGTCATCGCCTATTTCTTTTTGTTTTACTTCAAAGCAGGTAGACTTTCTCGTAGTCTTTTAAACTGGTCTTGCTTAGTGGCTTCACAAACCTTTAGAAGCTCTTTCAAATGTTTTTAGGACATATTTAACTGCTTCTTTTATTATTATTATTAATTTCTAAAAACAAAGTAAATGCATCCAAATCTTAAACTAAACCTGTGAGTAGGACTGACTCAACCACTTCAAATGATTTCCAGAAAGTCTGGGAATCAGCAGAATGCAAGGCAGCTGCTCAATCTGTCAATTAAAGATACCCTAAAATACCGAAAAATTTAAGTGGTATGAAATTTTTTCCCTCCCTTTTCCCTGTTTTGCTTCTTCGTAAATTCTTTCTCAGACCAGATTATCATTATAATAATTCCCATTCAGGAATCACAATCCCATCATCATACAGCCTCAGAGACTGACTGCCCACGTACCTGTGGAACTGAGCCAGCTGATCCGTGAGCTCGCATCCACATCGCATCCTCCGCCGGACACCCACGCCCACACGGGTCCATCCTCTTCCCCGATGCCCTGCGAGTTCTCCAGGGTTCCCAGGACGTCGCTCAGTGAACGCCCTGCTGCCTGTGCGCTCCGAGCCGCCCCCGCCCCCTCTAGGTCCACGTTCATAAAGGGGACGTCGTGCCCAGTGGCCGGAAGGGTGGGGAGCACCGGAGCTGGAGGCAGCTCAACGCCGTCTTCCTGCGGCATCTCGGTGATGGACGGCTGCGTTGTGGAGGTTCTGTCGCGGTCCGACACCAGGCTGTTGATGAAGCTGTCGCTGGCTGGGATGAACGCTTTTGGAGCGTCTTGCTGGGAGGCTGAGGACGGTTGTTTTACCTCCTGAGGAGGTGCAGATGGGTCGCCGCCCCCTAAGGGGACAATAGAGGGAGCTGCTGCTTCCAGTACGGGAGTAGCGCTGTGCTCCAAGTTAGTCGGACCCAACTCTGAGTCTGAATCAGTGCCACTTGGTGCAGAGCCTTGTGAGGTCTCAGTCAGGTGGCCACTAAACTCACACTCATCCCTTATGAAAACACAAAGGGAGTAATAACGGGTTGATTAAGGTCAGGTTATGAGTTAGTGGAGACTTGGTTGATGTTACTCTGCAGACCTGGGTGGAATAAGCTCTTTATTGATGCCCCACTGGGCAGAAACGGGGATCCAGCCATTTCCACTCGGCTCAGCCTGGGTCACACCCATCCTAAAATACAACCCACGATCCTCACCAACGGCCCAAACCTAACAGACAGAGACAAAGAGAGATCTGTGTGGAAGAACAGCAGTAAAATAAAACAAAAAAACAAAAAAAAAACAAAGGTCGTCTGGTACCTGTTAAACACAGACAGTGAAGTGTTCTTTATTTATTGAGCTGTTTCATCAATTCACCTCCAGTAATCCAACAAACTACAATTTAATCAAACCGTTTTTCCAACAGACCAATCAGAGCAGCTGTTACTTTATAAGGCCATATACTGTAACTCCTGCTCTGGCTCCGTTAAGCCTTCCCCATAACTGAAACCCTGAAACATGAAATATGGGATTTGATGACGACGCCTTGGCCAGCTTCTAATTAGGGAGTCTCCCATATGTAAGGCCAGTGGGAATACAGTCTGGGGATATTTAAGGCCGGACCCTGAGGTGCGACTGCTGAGGGGACATTGGCCAGAGCCGACACGCTGTGCTCGTGTTACAGTGCTGCTGACGGGAAGCGAGGCGGAGGGGTTGGAATGGGTCGAGGAGAGGTTTGGGAGCAGTGGGGGGGGGAGGCGTAGGTGGGAGGTGCGGGGTTTGCAGCGCAAGCAAAGTCTTCAGCAGTGAGACACGGAGTGAAGAGTTTCTGCTGTCCTGAAACCAGATCCAGGCAGACGGTGAGGTGGCTCAGGCAGCGGAGAGGCACAGTTCAGAGTGGAAAGAGAAAAGTTTTAATAAACCTGCAAGGTTAGAAAACTTGTAGAAAATATATTTAAAAGCTTTAATAATGTGTTTTGGCATCTCTGCTTGTTTTTTATTTTAGCATGCTTCATTCTATTATAGGGGCACAAAGAGCAGAAGTACACGAGGTGCGACAAATTTTGTCACATTTTATGTTGCACCCACAGACCTCAGTGTATTTTATTAGGATTTTATATGATAGAGCAACACAGACAAGCACATAACTGTAAAATGTGCAACAACAAGGATGTAGGAACAACAAGGATGACAGGCTTATTTTTCTTTCTATCAAAACAAAATCTGAAAAGTGTGGTGTGAATGTATTTTTAGGCATCGTGAATCCATAACCGCGTTTTGCTACAATTACATGCGTTACAGTTTTCTTGTCTCTAGATACAGAATTGCGTTTCTGTCCTTCCTTCTTTGCTAAACAGCCCAAATTCATGCAGAGGGATGCAAAAAGACGACGAATGTAATTATGGCACAGCACTCAGACTGGCTTTCTTCCAGGTTTGCCTAATATTTAGTGTCATCCATGTCCCCATCAACCCCGCCCCGCTCCACTGGATCTGCTTAAGGACAGCATCTCCATGATGCTGCTAAAACTATGTTTTACTGGTGTTGAAGTGTTAATCTCCGTGAAAGTTGCACAGTAAAGTTGAAAACTGATCAGTGAGCTACTCCTCCTTAAAGCCTGGATTTGTGGAGTCAACAACTCAGACTTATCGTCCGATTCTGGAGTCTTCCCCAGAGGCTCACACAGCCGAACCCCACATTAAATATGACTAATAATAATTAATTCCCCAAGTAAAAAAAAAAAAAAAATCTCCTCCAACCTGGCCATTGAGCCCCACGTCCACCATCATCATCTCCCCTCCGATGCTAATCCAGCCAGATCCACAGGGGTTGTGGGAGTTTACGCCACGCCTGAACCACACCTGGACACACACACACACACAACCGCTCCAGTCCGCACACGTAGCCGACAGGTAAACCAAACCTACTCAGATCATTTCAGACGTCATCACAGGTTTACCTTAAAGTCCTTTGTGACCACCCACACAACGCTGACTCCGACGGCCACGTGAAGAGCCTCCACCTCCTTTGAGGGCGACTCCACTTCCAACCAGGAGATACCTACGGTGGAACATACACAATGCACAATGCTCTGTAAAATGAGTTGCACCGTAAAACCAAAGCGTCACATTTCACTTACAATATCACCCATTAATAGAGAATTACAATGGGGAAATAATTAACAGAGCTTCGAATACATAATTCATAGAATTAAAGTGTTTAAAATGACCATTTCTCAGATGAAAGGACAGGGGGAAAAGAACAACAAAAAAACCCAAAAAAAAACAATTGGAGTGTGTGCCACGGTGACGAGGACCTGTCGGGCTGTCCAGACTGAGGCCTGTACGAACCAGCAGGTTTCCATCCCACAGTAAAGCCCAGAGAAGATCCCCAGGGCCGGCTGACAACTGAGCCACTTCTCTGGGCACCTCCACTTCCTCCCAGCTGGTCCCCTCCGGCACTCGGGGTTGGATTCCCTCCCTGAACCACACCTGTGCAGCACAAGTCATTTTAGCAGATTGTTAAATCCGGCCACATTTGGTAAACGGGATTTTAGGCATGAAATCAAGATCTTAGGTTTCAGTTCCAACAATTACATGTTGCATTTTAATAAAGTATTAAATGTTTTTAATTGAGCAAAATAACTATTTCTTGGCTCTCTTGGGTCGGAAAAGTTAGTAGTTAAGCCTTTTGGTTCATATGAAGTTATGCTGCCCTCTTGTGGCCATGCATGCTCAATAAAGTGATGCCCGACATCGTGTGTTGATAAAAACCTGCAAACCACAGCGGAACCATGGTCAGTGGAGCAAACATTCTCAGAGGTGATAAGAAAAATGATTTGTTTTACTAAAAACAAATATTATAGGTTTTGTGGGAAGCTAATAATTCCCCTAAAATGTAAAGCGAACGTATGGGTTTTTAATCGGAAAGATAAAACCTCAGCTGCTGCCACCTTGTGACTGACCTGCCCTTGCTGTGACACGCCCCAGAGGTATGGGTACCTCCCTGACTGGTCACTCATCTCCCAGCCACCACAGCTGATGTCACAGAGCGGCAGCGGGGGCTTCTTAGGGCTATCCAAAGGGATCTGCAAGGAGACAGTACTGGCCTTACAAAACATCAAATTAGCTTTGACTTACAGTCGCCATGGAGA